AACCCTAATGCAAAGTTAAGAAGAAAAAAAAACTCTGCTCCTCTTAAAAACTCTCTTTTCAGTTCATATTTGTGTATGTGAACACCAAGAGGACCAAGGACCGCTCCAAAAGCAAAAAGTGGACTATAGAGCAAGGCATTCTGGGTAAATACGACTTAAACTCATTAGATCTTTTTTGACTAAAGATCTAACGCTACTCCATTTTTGTTTACGTTTTGTGAAGAAGGAATTTGCGTTCTTGTCTTCTATGTTTTCATAACGTATAGTCTGGTGGACTCGGTTCGATTGAGGACCAAAATTGCAACATTTGTTAAATTTTTAGTTGGTGCTGTTTGCTTTCACAGTGCAGCGTCAAACGATCCAAACTAATTCAAAAACTTGTTCCCCTCCACTGCTCTGTGACTCACTGAAGGAAACGACACAAAACCCTCTGAAGAAGACATGAGCACAACTTCCTTCTTCACAAAATGTAAACAAAAATGGAACAGGGTCAGATTTTAGCGATTGTAGGATTTGTCTTCTGTCATTAGTAAAAAATCAAGCGTCATTTCTCCTCCTATAACTAGACTATACCTATAGAAATATGACAAAACCCAGTTTGTAAAAATATTCTATCCAGAAATTCTCAAGTGACTTACTAAAGAATGCTTTGTTATTGCATTTTAGGAAATAAAATATTTATTTTCAGATTTTAAAAAAGTGTAACATAATATATTTTTAATATTATATATTTAAGATGTAAGTGGTTAAACAAAAAGTTTTCATCCAATATCTTTTATGTGATTAATCATCAGAATAATCGGTTAATAAAATACTCGTTAGTTGCAGCACTACAGTCAGTCTTTTGCAGTTACATTATTGCAGACATTGAAATTGCTGCACTGATTATGATTGGAAACATTGTGCAGCTCTGCTTGAGAGTTACAGCAAATATCCGCCCTCTCTTTGCAGCTGTGCTTCAAAGCAGAACCCTGCAGTCGTGCAAAGTCACGCACCAGTGACACATCTGTCGATTCAGCAGCCATGCTGCAGGAGTGCAGGTGGGTTCCTCCATCCATTGCATCACGCGGCTGCAAATTTGTTCCCTTACCCAGTTGAAGGAAGGGTAAATCCTGCTTCCATTTGACATGCTGCTCATTTAGCTGAGAGGCTCTGTGGCTGGCGGGAGGGAAGGATGGAAAGAGGAGGGCTGAGGGGGGAGCTGTGTTTGTGTCGAGGGCTGGGGGGACTCTTTGGGAGGTGTCGACCTGAGCAGATGGACTTCTCAGTGGCGTAGTAAGTGGAGTTTTCACATGGCAGAGGAGACTGCAGGATCTCACAGGACCCGGACGCAGCGTCCAGGTGGCCGCGGCCCCTCCTGACCAGCTGGAGCAGCGATGGGACCATCTGACACTCCAAGGGAAATGATACACTTTTCTTTTGCTGCTTTGTTATTTCCCCACACACAAAAGCCCAGAGCCAATCAAGGAGTTTAGCTAATCAAGCGTAAAGAAAATCCTTTTGATTGCATGCAAGCATCCAAGGTCATGTTCACTGAAGAGGAGCATGTCTGACAAACACTGAACCTGATCTTTCTCTGCTCTCATTTTTAGACCCAAATTAGAAATATGGTTGAGTTGAATTAGGGCAAACTAACGTTGTTGTCATCTCTAGATTTCGTAGTACTGTGTAGCTGTAACAATAAGAATAATTCTCCAATGCAGAAAAAAGCTAAATGTGTCAGGTCAGGTTAATTATCAGCAAGACGGCAGGTTAACGGTGCTGTTCAACTCATCAGTAGAAAATTCTTGTTTAGAAGAAACTCAAATGTCAGTTTCTTTTCTAATGCCCTGCCTTGTTGCCATGGTTACATGTTGAAACAACTGTTGGAAAGTAAAGAAGTTCAAGCAACAATCGTTCCAGCTGCACATCATTACAAACCAGAGGGAATAATTGTCCAAACAAGCACGAAATTCAACCCAAAAAATTGTGGACAGAAATCTACAGAGAGAGAAAAATCAGGACTAACGTGACGGAGCTGCTCTGACCTGCTGCCACCATCAGCAGCGCAATTCTAGAAAATAAAATAAACTAAAGTTTGTGGTTGCATTGCGACAAAATGTGACATAGACACAGTAGCTGGTTATCTCTCCTTTGTCGCCTCTGCTTCAACCTTCTGCTAACACACACATTTTTTTTTTTTAAGGGGATCTGTTATGCAAAATTCACGCACATTTTCATTTGTCCATTTTCTTCTACAAACTGCCCAAGTTCTTAAAAAAAACACACAGGCAGTAAGTGAATGATTTTTGATGTCTGGAAAATGAGCAGTTTCAAAAACATCCCGATTGTTAACATTTGATAGGCATTGCGCCATTAACTGGCAACCCCAGCTGAGCCCAGGCCTGTTACCTAGCAACCCAAATGGAGTTCCAGCATGTTTGGTCAACTGGTTTTGCCACTGTATGCGCTACTGGAAAAGACGAGTGTTTTGTTGTTGATTTATCATCCAGAAACCACTTGCTGCAATCTACCTGGCCGTGCAGGAGGCTCTACTTCTGCTTTTCAACAGTTGTATATTTGTGCATCTGTTAGCAGCCATTTTCACGTGTGTGTGTAAACGTTGAGTTGGGTGGCCTGACAAGAGACCCTAAAATAACTCATTCTGAAATCTTATTATCCAAGAATGATTTTGTGCAATAAAAAGTAATGAACATGTTTTGTGTTGCCCATGTAGACAATCCGGGTCGCCTTTAAGATTTTGTACAACCCCATTCTGCAAACTCGCATCTGCAGCCGTGTGCAGTGATTTCTGCTCGGTTTGTACACGCTGCAATGTGGATTCAGCAAATCCAAGTGAGAAAGTCCCATCTGTGCTTCTCCTCCACTGATCCCGAGCCCCGCAGGCTGCGTAGGGCTAATTGTGGCCTTCCTTATCTTTTTGTTTTTACTCCGTGTCGGGGTCAAAAAAGCTCCCAAGTGACCAGCGGCAGGAGCAACAGCCATCGGCCCCCGCTGAGCGTCAGTAATTAGACTCCTCCCCCCGGCCCACAGGCCTCGGCCGGGGAACCTCTCGCTCTCCGACTGAAGGGTCAGGACGGAGAACAGCTGCTGAGGGGAAACCACCCTCTGGTCCTCGTGGTTCTCCTCGAAACGCTGGCGGCGCCGTCTTTCAGATATTTCATGGAATGGGTCGTCCAATTCCTGATTATTGGGTATTTTACTCTTCTGGGACGGTTTGTTATCTCCCCTGCATGTCGTTTAACATTAAAATAAGGTGTTGGTTTTAAGTAGTAAAGTGGAAGGAAAACATTTTTAGCCCAACTTGCAATATGCAAAATCATTTATGAAATATATAATAGTGGATCTATCACAGAAGTTGAATTTTTTTTAATATTGCTGCAACAGTGTGTCAGCAACATGTTGCAGAAATCTGTTGGAGCCTATTTGTTGTTGTTCTTCATAGATTAGATCAGGGATGTCCAAAGTGTGGCGCTGGGGCCACTATGGCCCTCGACTGCAATTCAAGAATGGGACAAATTTCTCCCTCCACAACAAAAGCGGTTGATAGAGATGGTGATAATTTTATTTTTTCTTATTATAGACAAAAAAGTTACATTCAACATAAAATATTCATCTTTTAAAAAGCAGGCTTTTTCCATTTTCTTTAATTTCATCGTAAATCTAAATTTCACCCTATTTATTCAGTGACTTTTACTCTAAAGCAAACTTTAATTTATTGAATTGGTTCATTAGATTTGACCAAATACAGAATGTGTTTTCAGAGAAAGAGTGACTATAATCCTTTACTTGTGCTGAGAAAAGATCAGCTTCTGTAAATTTTGTTCCAGTTTAGTAACAAATCATCTGCAGACTGGATGTCTGTCTTAATGAGGCAAACATGCAGAAGTGATTTTCTAGTTTTGCTTTCTTACATGAAACATTGAGCTGCTTAGTTTTATTAAAATATTGCAAATTAAAGAAGAAAGTGACAGTTTTTGACCCATTGGTAGTTTTGACTTTATGATTTTGTGACTAAACTTTTGTCACCTTGGATTAGATTAAAACAGCCACAGCTAACTAAATCTAGAGATGCATTTAATATAATTTGGTGCCAGTTTTCAATCCCATATAACATTGTAACTTTTCAGCCTGATTATTTAATATTAGAAGCAGAGGTCTGTGAAAAAGAAGCATTGCTGAAAATCAAGTTTTATTTTTATTTTATAGCAACCACAAAATTACTACAGAGATGTTTTAATTATAAAGTCATATATTTTATTTCAGTGCAGTTAGCATCACTGTACAGTGAACACATGTTTATTTGCAGATTTTTCAGAGCATTTCTAAATTATTTGACAAAAAATGCAATATTAATTTTCATTTTAGAGTCAATAAAGTATATTTGAATTTGAATGTAATTGAATATTTAATGTTTATTAACTGGGTTTCTGCTCAGTCTAAACAAAATCTTTAAAAAGTATTTCATTTAATAATCTCAATGCTGTGCCTTAGAAATCTTAAATAAGGTCAGATGATCTGTAATTGTTCCTAAATTATATTTAAATATATTTGAAATGTGTGTTTATTCATCCATTGTTCTCCTTTAGCTTTTTTACACTGTATTAAGGTACTGAAATTATTCTTCAGTAAGATCATTCCCAGAGCTGAAAAATTTTTTAAATTAACAAAGCTGCATTTTATATGAGATATTAAATAAAATTAAACACATTTTTTATCTTTATTGCAGCTCATAACTTTTAATCAGGATTAAAAGGCCCTAAATTAAACACATTCAACCTTGAAGAAACTTTTATAATCTGGCTACAACACACTGAATGAAGGTGGTGATTAAAAGCAAAATTAGGAGTAAAAATCAAGATTTCACCTGAAATGTTGATTTAGATGTAAAGAAGAATAGTTTAAGTTATTAAGTTGCAAAGTGCTTTAAAATGTTGAGGTTACAGGTGGAATCGATGCGTTTCACTGACGAGTGTATTTGTCTTTTAAAAGTGTGTTTGTGACATCTGCTGGTCAGAAAGTACAATGCAGGATCCGTCCATTCAGTAGATACTCACTTTAAAGGTTATAGATTTTCTCTGCATAAAAGTAAACATTTATACAAACTTAGCAGAGTGAAAATGATCAGCATCAGTCATGATTTTTGTCCTGTGAACTGATGGCAGACGGTTCTTGGGTTTTAGATTATCACCTACGGAAGGCTGTGTTTTTAAAAGTAATAACATTAATAATAATAATAATCTGAAATTATTGCACAAGAAGTCATGGAGCTTTTAGAGACAGAGTAATAGAGCCAAGTTTAAGAACAAATAATAAAATAAAATTATGAGAATGAAGTAAAAATAATACAAGAATAAAGTCGTAAATTTGACAGAAACGCTGCCTTACCACTGTGGTGTGAAATTGTGAAATTGATATTTGGTTTTACAAATAAGGAAATGGTTAATCTCTTAAGACATCAGAATAACATTATTATAATAACCGGATGCTGACATGTTTAATACAACCTTACTTTTGGTAATTTTGGTAATTTTATTCTCAAAATATTATGACATTACAACTTTATCTACGTATTATGTTGACTATTTTTTGTAATATTATGACTTTACTCATGTGATTCTGTGACTTTATTCTCATATTACTGCTGTACTGCTACAACTTTATTCTGCTAATATTGACTTTATTCTCCTAACATTAGGACTTTATTTGCTTATTATTTTGACTTTATTTTCACACAACTTCATTCTAACTTTCTTGTAATTTCATGTCATTTTTTTGTAAATTTATTTTTGAATTGGTGTGCATAAAACTGACATGACACCGTCATAAATATAACACCTGTTATAAACATGAAGGAGTCTTCATGAATATTTATGACTGTTGTCATGAAGCATAATTAGGTGAATAATGGCACTTTTAATGCAAAGTTCAGACTTTTAATGGACTTTTGAAGCAAGTTCCAATGAAACTTTGCATTAACAGTGTCATTATTTACAGAATGAATGAAGACTGCCTCATGTTCATAACAGGTGTTATGTTTATGACACTGTCATGTCAGTCTTATGCACACCCCTTCATAATAAAGTGTTACCTCTTATTTTTATTTTTTCTTAGCCTAGCCCTAACACTCTGTCGTAGATTTTGGCGTTTTGCTGCTATAAAGTAATTAAATACACAAATGTCCTGAAGTGCAGATCTGTTTTTGTACTTGAGAGTCTTGAGACGTTCAGGCCGACTGTCATAACGGACACTCGGTGTTGCAGAAGTCTCCCGACTTGAAGAGCCGGTAAACGTTAACCATCGGGAACATGGTGACGGAGCCGACCAGCGAGCCCATCTGTGCTGCAGCTCCACACCACACGAGGGCGCTGTGGCTGCGGTCTCTCAGGATGACTCCCACCATCACCTTAACGTAAGACAACGTCCCAGTGAACAAAAGCCAAGAGAGCACCTGGTGGGGACAAAACACCTGCTTATCTCAGTGTTAAACGGGAACATAGTGACACAATTAAACGTCGTTTCGTCATCAGCCGTGATGAAGGAGCTGAACGTCATCACCTTTCTGATAAAAACACTGATAATGACTCAGTGATTTGACTCACAATGATGGCCTCTCCCAGAGCAGACCCACGCAGCAAAGGGCAGGGACTCAGAGCCGCCATGGCCATGTTGTAGCCCCCGAAGCCTGTACCCAGCAATGTCAGGAATCTAAGAAACAACAGAGACCTGAAGACAAACAAAGGCAGTCAGGTGCAGTCTCCTGATTCAAATGAAAGACTAAAGCAGGTTATCTTTTGAAGATCCACTTTGATTTTACAGAAACAATCGTCGACTAATTTAGTAATTGATTAATCATTAACTAAAATAGAGTATCTTCAGTCAGAGGCTTCTTCAGATTTACTGTAATACAGACTGCTACCAGAGATCTTTCCTGTCTTTCAACCGGTTCAAAGTCAGCAAAAAAATAAATAAAAAATACCTTTGGCCATCTAATTATTAATAAATTAATTTTAAAAAGAGTTATCAGGTTATTCCTGATGTTAAGCCAAGCAGAAATGACTCAACTTTTCACATTTTGATGTTAAAAGTATTTTTTCTCTGAAGATACATCCTTTGCTGCAAACAATCAAGCACTAAAGCAATGCTATATTATGTTATGTAAATGTTTATTTTCTTATTTGTAGAAGGAATATTGCTTGTTTGCATCTTTTAATGCATTTCTAATATTGGATGAAAAAGGCTTAAATGCTTAAATGAAAAATTTTAAAATATGCAAATCTTCTCATCTGATTAATTGATAAATTGTAAGGATAATTGATAGATTACTTGATAACAAAAATAATTGTTAGCTGTAGCCCTAATCTGAAGTTACGATGTCTTCAGTATATTGTTAGCACAGTTCGTAGCATTGTTGCTTTACAGAAAGAAAGTCCTGGGTTTGAATCCCTGCATGGAGTCTTTCTGCATGAAGTTTGTGTTAAAGTAATCATTTTAAGTATTATTATTATTATTATTATTATTATTATTATTAAGTAACACACAGACTAACAGTTTGGAGACGCCTTGCCAAAGTCCCGGATTGATTCTGAGGAGAAAATAAATGTTTTGGGAACTAAAAATTAGGTTGATGGCAAAGTGCAGCTGATCACTAAAGATAAATAGTCAGTATACCAGAAGAGGCATGCAGAAAGCTTATGATAATGTTTTGAATGAAAATAATTTTAAATCTGCCAGGGGTATGAATATTTTTAGTCAGTACACTAAAACAAATTTTTGTTGCTATAATCAAACCTGGTGACAAATTTATCTTTTTTCTGGTGACCTTTCAAAGGAAATGACTTATGATTAAAAAAAGACTTTTGTAGAGTTTTTTATAAACCTGAGAAAGAAACCAAATAGTCTCCCCAGATAGCAATGTGATGTGATGTAGAGACAGCTGTCTGAAGCACAGCGACTCCACAGAGACGCAACCCCACAACTCGCAGAGCCTGGGGAATTTATGACTAATGTCCTGATGATGCACTGCGCTGTCAACACAGTCATGGGAAAAAATTAAACGCACTCCGTGATTCACTGGCTTGTGGCACCACCATTAGCTGCAGTAAGTGGAAAATTTGGTCCTCCTTGTTTCAGGTAAAATCTTCAGATGTTTTTTATGCAAAACTGTGTTAAAACGTAACAAAACCAGAAAAATAAACCTTTTTTGCAGATAAAGTGTCGAAATTGGACCTTAACGGTGTGTTTTTGTGCAAATTACTTTTGTGTAGACTTGTTTAATTCTTGCTTAGTGCTGCGCTACTTGGGTTGAACCATAAGCATCACACACAAGGGGGAATGTGGATGTTTTAACACTGTGACTTTTTATGCAGTTTTGCTCAAAAACTGCATTTCTGCATCGCTGGCTTCATGCCACCAAGCTGATCATGAAGTGAAACTAATGTGAGCACATATATTCATGCAAACAAACAATAATTTGTGGTGTTTTGCATTTATATCTCACAGTCGGTAGCTAATTTCACGTCTGACATTCCTGCTCCTCATCTATGGAACACCTAGAAGGCCAGAAATATGTGTCTTTCAAAGCACGTTGACACACAAAACCAACTGCGTTCACTATGTCATCCAATCAGAGAATTCTTAGATGAAAAAGAACCAATCACAACCCACAAATCACTTCTCACTGCTAAACTTTGCCACGCCCCTCAGTGTATATTGGCTCCGCCCACTTTGGTGGAATTTTTCTAATTTGTCTGGTATAGATTGATGTATTGCTTCCATTGTAGATTGAAAGAGAAATGACTAAATTTCTGCCAAAATAAATCAGAAAATTTGTGAATAATCTTTCTAGAAAGAACAGGGACATTTCTAAGCTCCAAAAGTCAAAAGTTTGCAAGAAGGAAAATTAGAAATTTTGAGATTAACCTCAAAAAATTTCTAGAAAAAAATTTCAAAATTTTCAACATTTTATTTATTTATTTATTTTAGAATATTTCTGAGATTTTTCACAACATTTCTGAGATTTTTTGGGCAGAAATTTAGATTTTTTTCCCCCATCTACAATGGCCCTAATACGCCGTTGTAGTGTTATGCTTTTACAGTAACACCACAGCATTTCCATCTGGTTGATGGAAATGCACACCATTATTCATTTTTCTTTTGCTTTTCTTTTACTTCTTTGCTGATGTTCTTTGGGACATTGACACAGGATGGGGGGTTGAAGTCGACCCACCAAAATGACTCCTCTGGTCCGACTCTGGAGGTAATCATAGATCTGTGACTACCATGAGCTCTAAGGCTAAATCTGGATTTCAGAACTACTGCGACATAATGACACAGCACAGTCTATTTGTGCCTGATTAGATTATCTGATCAGATGACTCTGATGTAGATCATACCACGAGGAAATTGGTTCAACTTCAGTAGGATTTGAGGTACTAAATGTATTCAGGCAGCCTGCAGGACAGGCATGATACTTGGATCACCCAGATACAGTGGAAATTCCCTCAAAATGATTCGTCAGTGTATTGCTCAAGTGAATGCTGAAAGTTATGAGCCACTTCTCTTTGGTGGCTCTGAAAGCACGCAGCCTGTGAACCTACCAGATCAACTTGGATATGGATTTTTAAAAAAAGCCAAAATCATCACCTCAATTTGTGTATCATGGCCAAACTTTTCTATGTTGGTCTAATTTGTCCAAATGTCAGTGAACCAGAAATCTTGAAGTTCCTGCAGTTGCAAGTTGGCAAATTCCTGATGGAGAAACTTCTTTTTGCAACTTTTCCAAATAATAAGCCAAAATGTGCTTTCAGTCTTTTTCTCATTTTCTTCTGAACATCCCAGAATTTGCTGGGATGCAATGTCTTAAATGTTTTTTTCAATTTTTCACAATCTTTCTCTCCACAGCCTGTCTGAGTTCAGTTTTTTCATTGTTGGCTTGTTTTGCTTGTTAATCAACAGAAGTTGATTTATAGCACCTGACTTCTGTTTTTCTTATGAAATCCAATATAAGCAGCAAGGGTCCTCTTGTTATTCCGCATTACTAATTACTCTACCTGTAGAGCAAGGGTGTTTAAAGTGAGGTGTGGGGGCCATTTGCGGCCCCTCGACTTATTTTATCTGGCCTCCCAAACACAATTCTATAAATTAGGGCCAAACTACGACTTTTAAATCAAAATCTACTCACAGAAATGTTAGATGCAAAACAAAGTGACAAACAAACAAAGCTTTTCCTATTTTCATGGTAAGTAGAACCACATCTGCTCATTGATTTATACTCTAAATTACTGTTTTCATTGCTGTATTAAAACTTGGATAAATACAGCAAGTCTTTTCAAATGATCCTGTTTTTACTTTTCAGTTGTTTTTTTTCAATCGAACCTGTTTGGACCCGTTTCTCAAAAAAAAAAAAAAATCAGATTACTTTATGTTTAATTAAAATAATCCATGCATAATTTGTGGCTGAGTAGATGAAAAAAGCAGTATTTTTGGTGATTTTGGTTTTTAAAAATAATATATTTTTGGGCAGCTCGTACATGACAAAAAGTTTGTACACACTTACTGTAGCGTCAACGCTTTGCGGTGCTTCATGTTTCATGAGTTTCATGACTTAAATTCTGTAAAGAGTATTTTTTTTACCTGTTCTGGAAGAACATTGCAATAGTGCAGGCCACTGGGTTGGCCACTGAGGCCAAAGCTGCAGACAGATGATAGGCAAGATTCCCATACGACATGCAGGAGTACGTCTGGACCGATGGCAGCAGTCCATTAGTCAGAGCGTTGACCCAAATCACTAGGAGGTACATGAAGACCAGCTGGGAAATGGGGCGTTGCGGTTTGCTCTTCTCTTCTCCCTGCTCACTTTTCTTGCCATCAGTTTCTGCTGCTGGGTTGTCCAGCCCAGAGCTGACCGTGCCCACCGTGTCCGGCACAAGGTTTTCCGTAGACAGCTCGTATGTCCTAGGCAGCCTGTTCAGCCCAATGAACGCAGCCAAGCTAATGCACATCATGGCCGCCAGGAAGGAGAAGAACACCTGTGTGGAGAAGTTTGGAGGAAGGTACTGTGTTTGCAATGACCACACTTCCTCGTCTGAGTGGTTTCCTGCCGCGTGAGAGCTGTTGACACACTTGGTCATGCCGACGCCCTGCGCCAAAGCAATGATCCCGGGGATGAAACCACTCAGCCCTTCTCCAATGAAGTAGGTGGTGATGTATTTAGCTGGAAGCTGCATCATAAAAGGCAGGAATGTCACTGAAGATGTGCAGTCCACCAGAGAGAGGAAGAAGGTGATGATGAAGAAGGCGGTGCTGCGCGACGCCCCCGCCACAACCGTTGTTTTGTCCCAGAAGAAGACGAGCAGGATGCAGGAGACGATGCCGATGGCGAGGACGGAGTAAATGACGGCGCGCTCGTTGAGACGACCGGGGCACAGTTTGTGCATGAGGGTGACCAGCAGGGGGCCCAGGTTGGCCAGCTGGATGATGACCGTGAGGTATGAGGGGAGCTCCCAGCCTTCAGGCAGAGCGTTGACGATGAGGGGAAGCTCCACCCACAGGCCGTTCACCGCCACCCAGGAGCCCAGGCCAAAGGCGCAGGCCAGGAGGTGCACTTGCAGCGCCATGCTTCAGCTGGATCCGCCTAGAGGTCTGTCATACCTACAGGGGGAAACGCAGAGACATGAAGACGATAGAGCTGAGAGCTTCATTTGCTTATTGGAGTTCAGGCTTTACTTTAACACAGCTCACTGAACTGACAGGAAGAGGAGTAGTGCTACTGAAGAAAAAAAATGATTCTGACTTTAATCTCAAAATTCAGATTTTTTTCCACAATTGTCTTTTTCCCTCAGAATTATGCCTTTAATCAGAATTATGCATTTAATTTCAGAATTCTGACTTTTTCTCCTCCAAATTATGTTTTTAATCTCAGAATTTAGATTTTTTTTTTTTTACTCCTAATTCTGACTTTAATCTCAGAATTCTGACATCTACCCTTTATTAATGTTATCCAGGCTAATTTTAGTCTGGCAGCTTATTTTAATTAGCTTTACAATTAGTTATTTAAGTCAAAAGCATAGAATAGATGCCTCACGGCTCTTATTTTGAAGTTTTGGAGGAAATTGTGTCATTAATTTATTGATTTAAGTAGAGTACATTCTGTACGTCTCTCTAGGTTTCACATCCATTTTCTCTAAAATGTTCAAAACTACAACAAAAACTTCAGAGCAAAACTTTATGTGCTCTGACTTTCTGTCAGTTCAGGAAATCAATCACTCAGGCGACTGCTGGGTGTTTAAATGTACTTACAAGTTTCTGCAGTTCCTCAAAGCGCCGCACCGGACCGTCTGTCATTGTACGAGGAGACAAAGAGGTCGGCCACGTCTCTGCGCAAACATGCTGCTGCTGAGTGGGTCAGAGTCCGCTGCAGCAGCTCCTGTAATCAACGTGGGCCGGGCCTAAGCCTGCACTTTCTTCACTGCTTATAAGGAAGTCAAACCTCTCTGGGTCAAAATCAGAACCATTTTGGGTCACGTCAAAATCCTGAATGTTCTTAAAGGGGCAGTGTGCCAAAACGTACCAATAAAACCCACCAACAAGCTGTTAGAATATTAATTAGGAAGCTATGTTTGGTTTCAGTAAGTACTTTTTAAATTGCATAATATTGAACATCTATTCCTTCAGGGTTTTGTGATTGTTTTTGTGATTTTTTTGCAATCAAAATCACTGATTTTGAGGAGATAATTTAGAAATATTTGCAAAACATTTTTGCAATATTTTCACTTAAATGTGACATTTGTTTTTGTACATTATATTTACTGAAATGTTTACATTAGGTAATAAGGTAATTTTATTTATATAGCACATTTTCAGTAACGAGGCATTTCAACGTGCTTTACATGAATTAGAAGAAATACAAACGAAACAAAAAGAAGCAAAAGAAAAACAAAACAACAAAAGTACAATTATAAATACTATAATTTATATATTTATACTACTACAAATATAATTATATATATAGTACAAAAACAGAAATCTAAGTAAGATTAAATATCTCAGATTAAAGAGATTTATGCTCGTTTGCTTTCTGACGAGGTCAGTTTATTCTTAGCATATTTTTCTGAAGTGTTTTGTACTTAATTGTCTCAGCAGGATATTAAAGCTTGATATTAAGAAAATATTACTGATTATAAATATATTCTAGAAACTAGAATATCAATAGTTAGAAAGTAAGCTTTAAGACTAGAAGTAAAAATTTCTTATTTCAAGGGAAAAAAATAAAAAAAATCATCTAAGTCTATTCAGATAATTAAAACAGACTAATTAAACATAAATTACAAAAGAAAAGAAAGTAAATAAACACAGCACAGATAATAAAAGAAACCTCAGCACTAAGCAACATTTTTTAAATTTCCTTCATAATGTCTCAGAGACTCAATCAACCTTGTTTCTTCAAAATTTACTACATTTCTTACATGATAATTTTTGTTCATCTCAGTTTCAACACAGAGACATTAAAGTTAATTATTACGCAAAAAAAACTAATTTATTTACTTTTTATGGTCATTTACACACTGAATTTAGGTGTATTTGCTTCTATAATATTTTAGCTTCTATTAAACTGCAGATTATTGAATATTTCACCACCACCTACTGGCCACAATGTGAAACTACAGCATGTTAGTTGCATCTCATTGTTAGCAAAGGTCATTGCGGGTCAATAATTAAACAACCCTGAGGTTATAAAAACATCACTGCGGCTGGTCTTCTAACTCTAGATGGCATTTTAATTGATGGGTTTTTCTTTCAAAGACAAAAAATCTCAAGGACAGAATTAAAAATTGGATAAAATAGTTTTTGGAGTGATTTAGAGAACGAAAGTCAGATTTTTTTTTTTCTTTGTAGGTTCACTAAATGCATCACAAAAAAATCTGTCCATTTTATTCAGCCAGTAAATGCATCACTATACCGTATTATTCATGATGCAGTTTCACTTACAGCACATTTTTCTTTCCTGGTCGCTTGGAATCGTTTAAAGTTTAGACAAACATGTTTGCTTTTGTTCTAGTTCTTACCCATTAAACCAGAACCAGCATTCCAGACCTTGAAGAAAACCATAAATCGGTTTAGTAGAACCTGCATAATGCTTGTCAAACTTTGCCAGGTTGTAGGACTGGAAAAGTACAGGTTATCTAAATGATGCAGCTCCAGGTGAATGTTTAAACACACTTAAAAACATTCTTCCTTAAACCCATTTAAAACCATTCTTTCTTAAACACTTAAAACCATTCTTTCTTAAACACTTAAAAACATTCTTTCTTAAACACTTAAAACCATTCTTTCTTAAACACTTAAAAACATTCTTTCTTAAACACTTAAAAACATTCTTCCTTAAACGCACTTAAAAACATTCTTACTGCATTGTTTAGAAAACTGAAAATGTAAGTTTTCGAAACATTTCCTAACGACATTTAAATTAAACATGTTGCATCCAACCAATAGCACAAAACTGTATTTAAAAACATTAATAAATGTCATTAGTAAAATCTAATTAATTTAAAGTCTGATGTGAATGCCTCAACCAAGATGTTTTATTGATCTGTGAGTTGAGATCAATAAGAAGAAAAACTAAGCTCAGTTTTAAGCTCGGAGGTCAGAGAAATCAGATTGATTGTGAGAAATCAATAACGTCTTGAGATCAGTTCCCCTGAGAAAGGAGCTGGAGTCGATCCAGCGTGAGAAGAGAGAGAGGCTGCTTCACTCTGAATAAACAGTCAAGTACTTATCCAACATCTGAAAACAGTTTATTTTTATATTTTCCAGATGCTTTTATCTAAAGAAACCTACTAAATAAATAATAAAATTATAGATGTCAGCAGAGGTCCAAATCTTATCTTTCCACTGTTTGGTTTTTTACACTTTACTGTCAAATTGTTAATATTTCATATATTCTTAGTATCTATTTTTATTATTTCTGTCTTTATTGTGACACTTCCTGCTTCCATTCTTGGGCATGGGTTTCTTATGAATTTTTATCTGGTTAAGTAAAAGTTTGAAAATAAAAAAATGAGCATCTAGCGACAGTTTGAGGTATTTCTGGAGACGTTTAGGTACGAACTCGTCCTGCAGCCACATAAATGCTTTTTATCACTGAAGAGAAACTAAAAAAACAGCAGTAAGAAAGTCTGTGTATCTGGGATTCAAACCAGTGTTGCTTAACTTTTATAAATGATTTTACTAATAAGTAACAAACTCATGATTTATTTTTATGTAGAACAAATTCTCATTTTAACAACACCCTGTTCACTTTTCAATGAATCTCTTTCACCTTTTGAACTAAATTACTGATAAAAATGTGTGAATATATTACATTTAGATAGTAACCAGTTTAAATTAACACATATTTAAAATGTGGTTTTAAAACTCTGTTTATGTTTGTCAAAGCTGCTGTTGTGACTTTATTTTAACTGGACAGACCTCTGACATAAGGCTTCCACTTTCTAAGAAGAAAAGTAAACTTTTTGGGTTAAACGTGATCAAAGTTAACAGTCAGCACTACGTGCTCAGAAAAAAGTCATGTGTCACACTTCCTCCACATGTTCTCTGCTGAATTCAGCTTAAATCTTGTCCGTTTTGTTGCTTTTCAGTCAAATTTTCTTCTTAATTTTTATGTACATGAAATTCTAACACAAGTTAGCAGCTACGCTTCCTAAATATTAGTTTTCTGGGGAGAAAAAGAGCTAAAATCAGTAATCTTTTCCATAAGCCGTGTAATTTGTCTGATATACCATCACAACTAATATTTGCAAACTGCAGCATTGTACCTTTAGTGTTTTGTCAACATTTATAAATAAGACGTCATGGCTGAAATATCATCAGCTGACACAGTAGAAACTCGTCAGAACAAATGTCAGCAGGCTCTAGATGTAGATTATTCAGCTTCGTTTTAGATTATATTTAATGCGTTATATATAATTTATGTGAATAAAATCAGAATCAGTTCTGGATGTGAGCGCATACTTAAAATTCATCTAAAATTAAGACCCTAAAAAGCTTTAAATATATTTTTAAAATGTCAGTTGGCCTTTAATATGTCATTCCCAGGTCTTAAGTTTTAATATTTAAGATCTACAACAGAGTTTTGATGCCATATTAGAAGAAAATTACAAGTGTAAAATTATGAGAATAAAATCAAAATACAAGAAAACACAGTATTAAGAGAATTAAGTCATAATGACAATAAATATTGAGAATAAAATCATGACGAGACTTTATTCTCATACAAGTTTATTCTCGTAATACGACTTAATTCTTATCAGCAAGTTATTAATTCTGTTTTTATATATACAGCTCTGCAAACAAGACACCACTTAAAATGATCAGTTTTTCTGATTTTCCTTTTAACAGGTTTATGTTTGAGTAAAATGAGCTTTTATTCTACGAACTACTGACATGTCTGAAAATCCAAGCAAACATTTAGTATTTATTTGCAGAAAATGAGAAATTGACAAAATAAAAAATGAGTGAGAGCAACAGTGGATAAAGGTTCCCCACCTCTTTTGCTCAAAACCTGTTTTCCTGGAAAGTTTTGGTCAAATTAGCATGAAAGTTTCCCCATAAGTGCCAACCTAAACCCTTTAATCCGATGCCTGCTGCACTGGTTCACCCAGTTGCTTTAACTTTAAAATTTAGATGCATCTATACGTCATCTGATGTGCTTTTTTAAATTGGTTTGCTTTAATTTTGAATATTTGTTTGCTTATTTTCAGCTAAGACTGAAAAAGGAAAAATAGTTGGACATTTTTATTCATATTTCCAGATTATCGCTATAATAACCTACTAAACGTGTCATGTGGTGGCAGAATATACAACGACCTTCAGCAGAGATGCATGAATAGAGATTTATGAAAGAAAATGGAGAGAGAAACACAATAATGCAGTACATCACATCGAGTTGGGCCAAAAGAGGTAGCTGATTTCACTTTTCTTTTCAAGCATGATATAAATGCAGGTCTAATTGCATACAATGCCTCTTAGGATATAATTTTATATAAATACACAATGTTTACAACTCTAAACATTATGCATTTACAAGAGCACCTGTACAAAAACATTTTTGCAAAGCCCACAGCAACACACATCTAGATTTATCTTAACACACAAAGACATTCTTATTGCCACGTGGAATGCAGTAAAAAAAAGAAAAAGAGAGAAAATGGGATTCTTATGTACATCATCTCCAAGCCACGTTTAGCCAAGTATGGTGATGCATGTTAAAGTGGCCGTTTCCTATGATACAAAAGGCAGCACACAAAGAGAAACACTCAAGAAGTTTGTTATTATACAATCAGCATTTTAACATTTATAACTGGAAAATAATAATAATTAGTACGATGTACAGTATTTGGATGACTTCTAATGAAAGTCCAGAGCCTGGAACGACTAATGAAGAGGATCTAGGTGCTTTCTGAGTAGCTCTTAATGTCTCTGCTCTGGCGCGTTTACATCTCCTGCTGCTTATGTGTGTGTTTGTGGGTGGAAGGTGGAGTGTCTCATGGCATGGCATTTGGATTAAGGGATTAAAACTAAACAGAGAGAGAAAGTTGGAGGGAGGAAGAAGGAGAGAAACATGACAGGAGAAGCAGCAGAAGCTCAGTTGGAGTACATCTGGCCCTCTGGCGGCTGAGGAAGCTTCATGTTCTCCTTGCACATCATGAGGCGCCGCAGTTCCAGCAGCACCATGCGGATGCTGTAGGAGTTCTGCCACTTGGCCAGCGGGGTCACGGCGTGCATGTCGACCTGCGGAGAGCCAGACGTCAACGAGGTGAAGTTCCAGACCCAACACCGCGACACGCAATGGCATCAGGGTTCAAAATGCAATAAACGTCAGCAAGTACAACTCCAGAACCCATTTTTAATTCTTTCTGCCACATAAGTACACTGCAAAAACACTAAATCTCAACGTCTTGGTCTTGTGCAAATATCTTAGCGCACTTCAAATAAGACAAAACTTGCAAGTCACTGGCAGATGAATTCATCTATAATAAGATTTTTTCTCACAGAACAAGCAATATAAGTTCTGCCAGTGGAACTAATATTTTTTCACTAAAACAAACTCCTGTGTGTTGCTGAAAAGCTGCTTTTTAATTATTTTAAGTGTACTAAAATATTTACCCTAAAAACTAGACCAAAATACTTGGTAAGGTTTTCTGTTTTTGCAGTGCAATGACATTATTATATTTTACGCTAATAATTACAAAATGCAGAGGTTCCTCCTTTTTTAGAAATTATGTAATAATGTGGCGCATTATGTGATAAATGAACAAACTAATCATTCTTCTAATAATGATCATGTTATGGATTTTACACTCGTTTAAATTGAACTTTGGTCAATAAAGTCCAAACTTTCAGTCACTTAGTCGCCATTTCAGACTCATAACCTCGTTGTTAACCAACATGTTAACAATTCAAAATGTGTTTGAGGATTTTATAACACTTATTACATGATGTAATTTTAGTGATGTTTTATTACATTTTACAGCCACATTTTATTACATTACTACATAAAGAAGTTATGTTGAAGTTTTATGCAATGGACCTGCTCAGATTAGTGTTTTGTTTTTTTACTAAAAGGTTTGGCAAATAGCATTTGTATTAAACCCCCTTTCCTACAACACCCCTAAATTAAAAAGTGATTTTTGACTCTGCAGCCAGAGTTTCAACAGAATCGAACCTTATTGGTTTGTAAGAATGGCTTAGTCAAAGTCCAGATCTGAGACTTGATGTTCACACTTTCCACCCAACATGAGTGAACTGGAGTTATTTTACAAAGAATGAGACAGAGTTCACATTTCTTCATGAAAAGCTTGTCACTAAAATTGCGGTTTTTCAAAATATAGAGTCAGGGAATTGAATACAGATGTACACCACACTGTTCAGATTGTATTTGTTAAAAAAAAATTTAACAGAAAAATAATTTATAATTACTCTTAAAATTCCCTTTTACATGCTACTTTATGCTGGTCTATCACATTACAGTTTGTCACTATAACATGACAAAATGTAAAGAAATTAACTTTAAAATGAACCAAAATCAGCTTATCAATCATAATAGAACCATCAAATTTTAAATCATAAACATTTATTTAGGCAAACCTGTTCTTTTCCTACAAGCATAAAACTAAAACAGGAACCTCATCACTGCACAACAGACATGGGAAAAAGTCCCTTCTGGTTTTAAATAGCCACTCCTGAAGCAAATGCTAAAAAAATAATCAAAGATAATCACAGAAGATAACATTCATAGTCATCATAGTTAGTAGCTTTGGGGATTTACATACCACACCGTTGGACGTGTGCACGCCATTCAAGTTTATCTTGGTCACAAATCTGACAAACGGCGGAGAGTCTGGGTAGCCTGGCCCACATTCAACCTTCAGGTTGTACATCCTGTTTTCATAACTCGTCTGCGGAGAGACAGACAGGGAGGTTAGCAGACCGAGTCTGGAAACGGGAAAAGATGCAGCTTCTACTCATATTTAATGTGTAAATACAAACTTTTACTAAGCATATTTACGGTACAATTAAAAACAGTGAGCAGCATGTAAACACAGTAACTTCTTCTGAGGAATCTCTGTCCAGTAGCTCTGCAACGATTACTGCAGTGATCCATTATTCTGATGATTAAATGGTTAAAAAAAAAAAATTGCAGACTTTTCATTTTTGCACATTAGAGAAAATGTTACAAT